GCAGGCTTGTATCCGTTGTGGCCAATATGGCCATAATCAATTCAAGTGCCGTAACAAAAAGGTGACCGAGAAGATCCCGCCAACGATGGGGCAGGTGTTGGGATCATCCGCTCCCATTGGCAGCAATGTGGCCAGCAGTTCTGGCACTGTTCCGGAAAATGCGTCGGGCCAGAGGAACAGTAGTTGTTCCTGCTAGGGTCGAGGTGGTGGACACACCCTCACCATCTCAAGAGATGCCGCAAGCTACTGACCCCGTCGTCGTCCCGCAAACACATTCAGACCCATCGAGCTTCTATTCGATGAATGTGTTTGAATCCTTAGAAGAGCTAGAGGAGGAGTGGTCTAGATCAGACCCCCTAGCTTCTTGGACGGCATTAGCTGAAGCCCCAAAGGGAGAGAGGTTCGTCGGCGAGGTAGTCATCGGCGGCCGGAAGGCCGGGGCCTATTATGACACTTGCTCGACAAGGAACTTCATTAGTCGCGCTTGCGTTGAGAGGCTGCGCTTACAGGGGCAATTGCAGCGCCTGAGTCGACCTGTGGAGTGGACCTGTGGAGTCGACCTGTGGAGTGGACCTGTGGAGTGGACCTGTGGAGTCGACCTGTGCTAACAAACAACGCATGATAGTTAATTACTACCTCCAGGATGTTGAGTGTTGTTTCCCGTACGCGGGAGGGGAACTGAGACATTGCGTCTCGTTCCTAGTCAGCAATGATCTCCCTATGGATATCTTGTTGGGTATGTACTATCTTTCGGTTGCACAACCCCAGTTTGATTGGGATTGAAAAGTGGTCAAGCACATTTTGCCAGGTGGAGGGACCGCCAGATTGCGTAAGTTTAAGGCTAGTAGTCTGATCGAGTCCTACGGATGCATGTGTGCCATTGCATTTTGCAACTATTATAAGCAAAATTCGGAGGAGGGTATGTATCTAGTTTATGTCTTTGCAGCAAGCGAGCCGGTGAAAATGCCGCCGGAGATAGAGGGAGTAGTTGCTAAGTACCCTGATCTATTTGAAGAGCCGACAGGGGTTGTCGAGAGGGAGGTCGTCCACGCGATAGAGATTATCCCATGGTCTAGCATCCGGAAGGGTAGGATCTATCGGATGTCTCCATGCGAGCTTGATGAGCTTCGTCGACAACTCAAGGAACTCGTAGAGAAGGGTTGGATCCGGCCGAGTGTCTCCCCTTACGGATCTCCTGTCTTATTTGTGCCAAAGAAGGGGGGAACTTTGAGGATGTGCATTGACTATAGGGGCCTCAATGCCATCACTGTCAAGAACCGAGAGCCCCTACCACGCATCGACGATTTGCTAGATAGAGTGCAAGGGTGCCGGTACTTCAGTAAGATAGATCTGAAGTCCGGGTACCATCAGATTGCAATACGGCCCGAGGATCAGCACAAAACCGCTTTTCAGACCAGGTACGGTCTGTACGAGTTTGTGGTGATGCCTTTCAACCTTTGCAATGGTCCGGGCACCTTTCAGCACGCTATGAATCGGATCTTTCATGACTACTTGGATAAGTGTGTCATCGTGTACGTCGATGGCATACTTATTTTTAGTAGAACTGTCGAGGAGCACATTGCGCACTTAGATAAATCCTCAGTCTCCTTCGGCAGCACAAGTTCAAGATCAATGGGGAGAAATGCGAGTTTGGTCGCACTCAGATCTTGTACTTGGGTCATGAGATTTCCGCGGAGGGTTTGAAGCCCGATGACGCGAAGGTGGACAACATTCGTGACTAGCCACGTCCTCAGTCTGTGACTGAGATGAGGTCCTTCTTAGGGATGACCGGGTGCTATCGCAATTTTGTGAAGAACTATGGCATAGTTGCCGCCCCTTTGACGGACCTAACTCGCCTTGACACCCCATGGGAGTGGACAAACAGGTGTGAGGCTGCTTTCAGACAACTGAAGCATGCGTTGACACACCATGAGGTCTTGAAACTTCCTGATCCTTGCAAGCCGTTTATAGTTACCACGGATGCTAGCCAATATGGCATAGGCGTTGTGCTCGCGTAGCAGGAGGGGCCAAAGTTGAGGCCATTGGAGTACATGTCCAAAAAGATGCCCTCTCAGAAGTTGGCCAAGTCCACCTATGAGAAGGAGTTGTACACGATCTATAAAGCCCTAACCCATTGGAGGCACTATCTCCTTGGGAGGCTCTTCATCGTCAGGACTGATCATCAGACCCTGAAGTGGATGAGAACTCAGCCTGTGCTCTCTGATGCGCTGAAACACTGGATCGAAGTCATTGAGCAGTGTGACTTTGAGCCCCAGTATCTCAAAGGTGAGTACAACAAAGTTGCTGACGCGCTTTCGCGTAGGCCAGACTTCTCCAGTGCACTGATCACTGAGTTTGGGCTTGCGGACGATGTCACTCACTCGTTGGTGGAAGCCTATCGCGAGGACCAGTTCATGTCTGAGATCACACGCAGACTCGAGGTGAAGGACATGGTGACTTCTGACGAGTTTGAGTTGGTCAATGGCCTGCTGTTCCCTGAGAAGGCCGGGAATAAACGATTGTGTGTTCTTAATAGAGAGTCTTTGTGTAGTTTATTTTTAGGAGAGTGCCATGATGTCACAGGACATTTTGGTTTCAAGAAGACTGCAGCCAAACTGTTGCAGCGGTTCTGGTGGCCCACGATGATGAGAGATGCCAAACTGTATGTCGAGACTTGTCAAGTTTGTCAACGTGACAGGCCCCGGACACAGGTTCCTCTTGGGCTGCTCAAGCCCCTTCCCATTCCGGAAAGGCCTGGTGAAAGCCTGTCCACGGCAAGAGTGGCATGAGATACATCTACGTCATCGTGGATAGATTTAGTAAGTATGCTAGGTTAGTGGCCATGCCGGAAACAGCAAAGACCGAGTACGTTATCAAGCTATTTAAGGAAATGGGTCAGAGACTTTGGCCTGCCGAAGTCTATAATCAGCGACAGGGATGTCCGATTCACCAGTGAACTGTGGAAGGCTGCAGCTGCCGAACAAGGAACGCAGCTGCGGATGACATCTGGGAACCATCCAGAGGCAAATGGACAGGCAGAGCAAATGAACCTCGCTGTTCAACACTTGCTAAGGCATTACATTAAGCCTAATCAAGTGGACTGGGATGAGAAGCTTGCTCTCATCGCCAGCTTGTACAATAACGCAGTTCATAGTGCCACAGGAGTAAGTCCTAATAGTCTACTTCTAACATTCAACCCCAGACTCCCCCTTGACTTTCTGCTACCTGAGAACCAGCCTACTGCTGCTCCAGGCACTTTGGAGTTCGCTTATAGATATGAGAGTCATATGCAGCAGGCAGTAGAACACATGCACAAAGCACAGGTGGCGATGATCGAATCTGAGAACAAGCACCGCCGCCCATCTATGTTTGAGGTAGGGGACAGGGTCTGGGTCAAGGCTTCAGAAGTGCGACAGGAGCGCGGGATTTCCCGTAAGCTCATGCCACAGTACTTTGGACCATGGGAGGTTTTGGATGTAGTTGGGGATGAACCAGACGGACCCTCATATGTCATTCGGATCCCTGGACACCTTCGCACTTACCCTATTTTTCACGCCTCTAAGCTTGCACCATTCGAGGAAACTGACCAGTTTCCCTCTCGTCGCTCTATGCCGCCCCCAACCATGGATGGAGAGGTCGACATCGATGACATCGTTGACCACAGGGAGATGCCAGTTCCAAGACCGACAGGCAGAGGACGTCCTCCAAAACCGAAGATGCAGTACCGAGTTCGGTTCAGACATCACACTGATCCAAAGGAGGATAGATGGTTCACACGGGAGGAACTGATTCAGACCGCTCCACAGGTTGTCGCTCACTACGAGAAAACTCTGCAGAAGGGAAAACGCCAGATTATCGAATACTGAACTTCTCAGAGGACTATTGAAGTATGGAGGAGGGAATGCGAGGCACAGGGCCTCGATATGCCCTACAGGGCCTATTTTCCACACAGTCGGCCGCCTTAAGTGAAGGCAGGCACGACCGAGGCCTACAGGCCATGTTGGGGTCACCACGCAACTGGGGAAATTCAGGCAGTTGCGCAGCGCCAGTTGGTTGGAAGCGCCCAGGCCCAGGCTGCCTTTCATTGCATGTAACTGAGGCAGCCTGGCCCTGGGCCGGATACTCAAAGTGGACCGAACAAAGGCTGAGGGCAGTTGGAAGCGCCCAGCCTCGTGGGGCCTACCGGAAGCTTCTGGGCCAGGACCCAGTACCGCATTACCGCACGCAGCAGCAGGCCACTTCGATATAGAGAAGGGCCTGCCTACGCATTGGATATTCGGGCACTGGCTGCATGCTGCGCAAACGCTACTGTGCTAACGCTGGCCAGGCTCACGCGCTCACGGGCGATCTGGAAGGAGCAGGCAGCCATAGCCGAGCTGCGCTGCTGTATGCTGGATGGGGCGCATGGTGGTCCTTGGGTGCATGTGCCGTCTGTGAGTTGGGGAACGAGGTTGTGAGTGATACGAGAGACATACCTGGTGCTTGAAGCGTACGGCATTGTCCGAGATCTGCTCGTACTTCGGGAAGCTGTTGACATCATCAGTGGCATCGTAGAGTAGGCTAGATAGGATCTGCCATATGTAGTCTGGGCGCCGATCGCCAGACAGGATATCAACATTGGTTCTTCGTTGATGATGATGAGACTATTCCAGCATTGTCAATTATGAGCTTTTGGTGTGCTCTTATTTGGTGAAACTCGTGATGCAATTCTGCTATTGGTTCGAGGTCATGACTATCTGGTCTCATGTGTATGATGCTGTTTGATTTCTGAAGTTCACTATTGCTCATCTTCCTTGCAGGAGCCTTCTTTGTTTGTCTGTTCCACTCTCCTCCTCTCCCCCTCCCCTCCTCTCCCTCCTCACCCACAGGCCCTCGATGAGCCTGCTTTTGTTGGGCAAATGTTCGTGACGCTTGTTTTTTTTTTTTTTTCGGTTTGTTTAAGGTGGAGCTAATTTTGATTTTCTGGTTTGTCCTCGTTGTCTTTGTTGTCTTTTGCCCAGGCAAACACTTTGGCAGTTTGCATCCCACTGGTTTCTCTCGTTACCCTCATGCTTGAGCACCCATCTGCATCTCTTGGTGCAATCGAGTCAATCGGGCCTGTTGGTCCGGCGAAGAGGAGTGCAATACTTGCCGTGCATGCAAGGCTGGATGCCCTGGCGCAATCTGTATCCCTTTTTCTTTCCTCCTCCTTTTCCTCTCTCTGTCTCTGTCTCTCTCTGCCTCTCTCTCTGCCTCTCTCTCTCTCTCTCTCTCTCTCTCTCTCTCTCTCTCTCTCTCTCTCTCTCTCTCTCTTTTGAACTATTTTGAATTTGCGAGTGGCTTGGCATCTTTGTCATTTTATAAGGTCAGGCATGATGCCATCCTTTTTTTACCAAAAGACGGGACATTTTTTTAAATACGAACGCCTCGACTTTTTTTTTTCTTTTTTTTTTTGTCTTTTTGTTCCTCGATCGGGCGTTTGTCAATGGGCGGGGATGGTGAGTTAAACCACCAGTCCGTCTCTCCCCGGTATCTTGCGCTGGTCAATGCACCACAAAATTGCGGTTTGGGCCTACTGTAATGGAAAAGACGGGCGGCGCCTGGCAAGATTACATCCACCCGGGTGTGCTTTTTTTTTTTTTTTTTTTTTTATGGATGGGAAGCAGATCACATCGGAAAAAGGAGGTTCGGAGTGACTGGTGGGGGCTTAACATGACTGAAGTGTACCTGTCTGGGGTGGTTCAGCACTTTGGGACAAATAAGTTTTGTACCACAGATTCAACAGGCGTATGACCTGGTTCTGCCGTGACTATTCTGTGCTCTTACCCTGTGCTATTATTAGCAATAATCTGGTTCTATAACTTCTATTATCTATTCTGTTCTTTTTTTTTTTTTTTTTTTTTTTTTTTTTTTTTTTAAACCTAAGCTATATTCTTCACTCATATACCTTGCTCTACCTACCCACCTCTATTCCCGGATAAGCGGTTTTAACCGTTTTATTCTATTCAGGAGCCAGCATTAAACGTACCAACTACGCCTAAGCTGTCCTAAGGTTATGGGTCTACTCCTACCTATCTCTGCTCTGTGAGGGGAGCAGCACCCAAGCTCCTAACACCCAGTGCGGGCTGGAAAGTGAGGACATGCTTCCGCAACCAGCCAGGAGGGACAAGCTGACTTACTCAGTCGGTGAACCCGAAGTGTGGCACACAGGGGGCCGTGGGGAATGGGAATCGAAATGATGCCGTGGGGAATCGAACCCACAACCTCCTGTGTACCACTTACGTGCTCAACCAACTGAGCTAGGCTGCTCTATTCTGTTCCATTTCATTCTATTCAGTTAAATCAACTTAAATGCTATATACTCCAGTCTTATTCTGTACTTATTCTATTCTTATTCTATTCCTCTCCTCGCCTCTCCTCACGTCTCCTGTCTTATCCTCTCGTCTCCTCTCCTTGGACTATCCTGTCCTGTCTGGTCTGGTCTGGTCTGGTCTGGTCTGGTCCGATCCGTTCCGGTCCAGTCCGGTCAGGTGCCGTCCGGTCCCGTCTCGTCTCGCCGGAGCTTTGCCACCCAAGGTTTATCCTATTGATGCTGACTTCCAGAGATGGGGAGGGTGACCAGGTAATCAAGTGGAAGCACCAATGGAAGCCACCATATCGAGCTTAATGTGTTTTTTTCTCTTTCCGTCTGGAGGGTTTACATGTGGGTAGGCCATGTGATCTCGAAAAGGGGTTTACATGGTTTCAGTGGGTGTGGGATGGTAATGAAATGAAGGCCATCAAATATGAGAAAATTGGGGATCAATTTTCTGTTAATCTGTCCAGACATCAATAAGTAAATCAGAATCAAGCCACTTACCCTGCCAAAGAGACCCTCCACTTCCCCCCCCACCCTTGTTCCCTCTGAAGAAGTAAGTTAAGTCTTTTCCTGCTTTAGTTTGAGTCTTTTCTCCTTTCTTTGGTTCAGTTGTGTTTTCTCTTCTTCTGGTTTGCCCCTATGTTCTCCTGCCCCCCCCCCCCCTTCTCCCCCTTCTTCCTTTCCCGGTTTGCTTTTTCACAATTTGTTTCCCTTTATTTTCTGCATAACCATGTCCGCTGCCAGCATAGCCTTATAGCTTGAAAGCATTTCTTATCGGACTTGGTATAGATAAGGGAAGAAGCATTTTTCGTTAGGGCACGTGCTCTGCAGCAATATAGGGAATTGTATGAAGTCTAGCTGGATCGTATCATTTTTGATGTGTCTTTTTTTTTTTTTTTTCCCTCCCCAACTGTTGAACCATATCAACTTGCTGTGCGGGCATGTCATCTGACGTACACAATGGCCATGATGACCGTCTGTGCATCATTCCTGTTTTGAATTTGTATTAATTTGTAATCAACATCTTGAAGGACAGAGGGCCTCCCATCAATCTAAAGATTTTGTTCAATTGCCAGAGAGACATCTCAGTCTAAACGCGGAAGATCTTGTTTGATCTTTAGAGAGGGCCTTCTATCCATTTATGAGTTATATAACTTGACATGTTTCTTTTGGCATTTTCTGAACTCTTTGATTGTTGTTGTGGATTAATATTTACAAATAATAATGTAGTACTAGGCTACCAGAGTGGCTGGGGTCCACTTGCCCGGCTGGGCCAAAAAAGAAAAAAAAAAA